TTTACTAACCATAAAGTCAATATAATTAAATAGTGATTAATAAAACATTTTATTAGTTCATCACTAAATCAACTAGAACAACTTCTCAAACATATAAGGTAATCATGCTCCAATTTCTTATACCTCAATCAATCATGCATCAACTCTTCATATACAACAATATGATCAATTGACACTTTACTTGACCTATTAGTTAATTAAAATCATGCTTTTATAACATTAGGTAATATCATGAATTAACCCACTAGTTATAAACAATATAGTCAGTCATTATCACCTTGTGATGTTCTCAACTAGTTGCCTTTGCTAAGCCCTTCGATCTATCCCCGTTCTAGGCCGATTGAAAGTGAAAATTCTGGACAGCAGACAAAATCCGGGCGGCTTTTGCAAAATGTGGGCGGCTTTCGGGCCTGCAGCTCAAAAACAGTCCCCAACAATGGCGGTTTCCGGCGATTTCAACTCATATTGATTCCACGACTCTTCTAAGTTAATTACCACCACTTTATATCAATAAAATACACTTTTCAACGTGCAGAACCTCTTGCTTAATCCACCATATTATTCATTAAAAATCATACAAAAATAATACTAGTTAAAAGGACTATTTGAGTTCTTACCTTGATTCTTTGCTATTTTCTCTTGGATTGCCTATCTTCCTTCTTCCTCCAAGGTTGCTGGTTTTGAGAGCTCTCCCTAGACTCCCTTATCTCTCTATTCTCTTCGTATGGTGCAAATGAAAGGGAGAAAATATCTTCCCACCAACTAGTTCTTAATAATAGGGAGAGTAGGGCCTTGATGTTTCCATATGCCTTCTCCCATACCTCTCACCCATATGTCCGCACATAGCATTTTAGTTTGTCTCCAATACATTATTTGGAGACCACACATCATGTAGGAAGATCCCCAAGTGGGTGTAGGAAGTTCCTCTCAATTATTATTGCTATTTTTGCCAGGTTGGGTCAAAATAGCACTTGGGTTGCCCAAACATTTTCCTCAACTTTAGTTGACATTTTATTGGGTTTCTAATATTATTATGATGACCCAACTAAATATTTAATAGCTCATTCTCCATATTATGGACCCGCTAAATAATTTAATTAATCATTCATTAATTAAATGTACCATTCTTTTACACAATACTATTCGCCAGGAAATTCAAATACATGTTGAATTTTCAATTTGAAAGTACATTCGGGTGCAGTGTCACATGACTCGTGTCAATAATTCATCTAAAGGGTTCTTCAAGGGTTGACTTTATTATATTATATAGTCATATAGATATAGATATACGGTCATGTTTAAGTTTGAATGTTTGATAATCATTTTATGAATTTTTTTGTCACATTTAGGTAATTTTCCTTGAAAGGAAAGGTAATCCTATTAAGTTTTCTATTAATCGATCACATATAGGTATATTAGGATTAATAATTTTTTCTTCCCAATATAAAAGTAACATGATAGTATTTATTTTCATCTTGAAGTCAAAATTACTAAAATAGTTGTAGTACTCTGCATTAATATGATAGTATTTAATGTCATTAATGTCATTTATGATAATTTCAATTATTGTATTTAGAAAAGAAAATTATTCCACCTACATTTTAGTGTTTGATGTGCTTTTCAGCAATTCAGCCTACTTATGGCAAATTCTGTTATAATCATATTTATAAGCACGAGTCAATTTTTTTTCTTGACTCTCACACTTCTAGTTCCAAGATCTTTCCCTAGAGCCGAAGATATAAGAGGACTGCTTTTAATCTCTTAATTTAATCTCGTCAAACTAATTTGCCTCAGAAATCACGTTACTCATTCGATCTAGATCTATACAGGTATGTTTCTTCTCTCGCATTGGCCCAATCTTCTTAAAAGCTTTAAAAATAGCCATTAATCAACAAAGTGCAGGCGAGAGCCTGGGTTTTGAGAAGCGATTCTGCGAGAGAAAGCCTAGCTATTCCGGCGCTTTCTTGAGCTCACGTAATCTAAAGCCGCCAATAAAGAAATTGGGGTTGTCGGGGGTTATCAAATCGGGGGTCGTTCGCCAGTAAGAAATTGCCAGTGAATTCGCCAGCCTTGCATCTGATTGAGTTCCGTAAGTAATTATTTCATTATATGTTTTTATTCGCAGTACAACGATTTCTCCTGCCTTTTGATTTTAGATTTCTCTGTCTGGAAGAACCTTTCAATTGTTGAATTTACTGGCAATAGTTTCCCATTACAGTGACTGCCTTGTAATTCCCATTACAAGTGCCTGCTTTTAGTAATCTCACTTCTTTAAGCATTGCCAATAACTCAATCTCAGGAGAAATCGTGGACGTGAATTTGCCAATCTACAATATCTCAATTTGTCTTACAATAATCTTACTGGTATAGTGCCAAAGTCAATATTCCAAAGGTTTCTTAGGGCCGTGTTTGTGTGAAATAATGTTTCCTTGTTTGATCATTATGCCTTTTCAATTCCCACTATTTATCTTCCTCAAGAACCAACCAGCACCCTTTTGAAGTCAAAGAGTTTGGGAAAATTGAGTGAGGGGAATTCTTGTGGTTTTAGTTTCTGTTAGTGTTCTTGGGGTAGTGGTTTGGTTTTCTGTTTCTGTATCTTGCATTATCACCTTGTCAAAGTCAAGGGTTCTAACATCTGCTAGATAATGTCAGTCAGCAGGGCCTGCTTTAGAAAGATTTTATTTTCTGATCCCATGTCAAAAGCTTTTTCATCAAGCCTGGGTTTAAAAAGAGTATTTCAATGATACCCACAAATGACATTATGGCATTATTCAATGTTAACTAGGAAGAAATTTTGCACTTTCTAAGGAAGGAGATTGTTGATATAAGTTCAATCACACGGTTTTGTATGTAAGTTTGATATTGAACTTCAGATCTGTAAGTATTAGTCTTGATTAATAATGATATTATTTTTCTTTGAAATAATAATTTTAGATTTTTCATGGAAGATGTCTTTATGATCATTTCGATTTGAAAGGAAATTGGAATTATGGATTCTTATGTCCAATACTCCAATCATGAACCAGAAAGTACTATTTTGCACCATATCATGAAGGTTAATTCTTTTTAAAACTAAATAATCTTGCAATTAATTCTTTAACATATATACTCCCTTGTACTTTATGCAATATGTAAATATATTATACAATTGTATATTTTTATTGACAGTAATCATTTGACAGATGTCTTTATCACCATTTTGGATGAACTCCAATACATGCCAATAGGGTGGCTGCAGTTAAGTGTCACAGCTTAATTTATGCCTGTTAATTTATGGTTGAATTTCTCCAAGTAGTCATTATTTGGATTTTTATTGAACTGGAATTCGCTTGATTTTTTAGTTTAGGTTAGTTTTCGATTTAATTATTAGTGACACATAACTTTGTTTGGTTTTGTAGTTTTTCCCTGGCTCGAAAGGAATCTGTGACGGTGGAAATGGTTCCCTTCCAGGTTGTTATAAAAGTACGTCCATTGCTTGTCTCTCGATTTATTTTTTAAAAGCCTTGAAGTACTAGGAATTGATTTTTTTTATCTCACAAGTACTACGAGTTTAGAGAAATGCTCTGCTTTAGTTTATTTTTTCCCATCTTGTGATTAGTAGAACACTGTGATAGTTTGACGTTATTTGGTTATTATTGCTCAGGAATTGAATCCCTTTATGAGGATTGATAAGGAGGTGTGTCTTTATAGGTTATTTTTCAGTTGGCGCAGTGCGCTCTATGTTTCATCTTACATTTCTAACTTTATAGTAACATGTGGGCATATGCAAATCTGGAATGCGCTAACGAGTATGATAGGAACTAGGATAGGATCGAGTGTACTAGAATTGTTTAATGCTACAATTTGAAGCTGTACAAATGGTTTGATACTTTGATATGATGCATATTAGTATCTTAGTAACTGCTTTTGAAGTGCTATCAACTATTCTTCTATATTATACCAGGAACTAGAGCATGATTGTACAAGTGAGAGAGGACAGTTGCTATCTGTATATACTAGAAACTAGCAGTGGCAGAAAGTACACATCGGTATATTCAGACTGCATCTTATTTCTTGTTATTGTTATTTGCTAGAAACTAATTTTTTCATTTGAAATTAAAATGTGTATTTAATGCTCAGTTTCACGATGTGATATTTGTATCTTTTCATGGGTTTTCTACTTTCACCCCTCTAAGCTGTAGTGATTGATTTCATGTATTTTTGAATGTTAATTTGTTGCACATGCTTTATTGATGTTAGGGAATCTGCCCAAGAGAGAGATTCATATTTAATTAAAAAGTTTAAGAGATGAGTATTTGCAGGTGCATGTTCTTGAATCAGATGTGTATATTTAGAATTTACTACTTGCTATACATTGTTTTTAGCCCAATCTTTACAGAATTAAAGGGATCTTGGTCATTTTATAGAAAAACGACGTTGTAAACCTTAGTAATTACAAAAAACGGTTAGTTCTTATGTCAGTTTTACAAAAATAACCGACATGATAGGTCTTGGTTAATTATAAAAACCGCCTATTTTTACGTCGGTTTTACAAAATAACCGACGTGGTAAATTAGCTATCACGTCTGTTTAGTAACCGACGTAGTAAGATATTACCTATTATGTCCCCACATTCCTCATTACTTTCAAAACCGACGTAAAAGGGTATAAATAACCGACGTGGAAACCCTCTTTTGTAGTAGTACGTGTATTGTATATAATGGGTGTTGTTTAGATACTACGTAGTCAGTATCCCCAAAACAATAGTCTAATTGAATGAAAAACACTAATTTTACCCTTTTCCCAATAAAACATGCATCAAACAAGTTAAGTATATTTCATGTAGTTCAAACATACACATTGAATGATATAGTTAGAATTGGTGAATTACTACAGTTGTACCACTCTGTACTAAAATTAAATAGTTGTAGCTTTGTGAAAAAAAAAAAATTGTTTAGACATAGGTAGTAAAAGCTACAGTATATAAGATCTTCTATCACTTACAGAGTTTGGTAGTGTCAAAGAAACTCTATGTTTAAGAGTTATCATATATTCATATGCTCTATTCACTTTTCCTCTTAGTAGTTAGTATAGTGTCAAAGAGGACTCGATACCCTACTTTTTAGCAATGATCATGATGGGTCTTGACTACTCCATGTTGAATCAGTAATGATTCATTGATTCCAGACTTTTTTTTTGCTTTTGGATTTGTGTAGAATAAGGCTATGAAAGAAGGTATATATGCAAGCTTGGTTTCTTTAAACAAAAATGCATCACAAATCAGGAAGCCTCCACATAGGAAAGCCCCTCCTCTGAATTGGTTCCCTCGACAAAAGGTTGACTCTTATTTGAAGAGAAAGTTAAAATTACTGCAGGTAAGTACTATATACTGACATATTCGTTCTCCATCCTATTTCTCCACTCTATGTGTTAATACGGTGTAGCCTGGTTGACACTAACACCAACAATATTCAGGAAGTAGATGGCATGAATTCAACACTAGATGAAACTTTGGGTGATTCTAACCCTCATTATTCAAGAGTGTTGAGAGAAAAAATTGCAGTGAGGGAGGCTGCAGAGAAAGCAATGGAGGCTCGCAAGGCTGCCATGGTTGAGGCATCTTGGTGTAGAATTCTCAAGGCAGTCAGGTAGCCCTTTTTGTTTTTAGAGTTAATTAATTACATTAACTTCTCCCAAGGCTTGGTCAAACAACCAAATGATCCATGATGTTTCTTAAAATTATGAATTTACACTCCTTGTCATTCAACTAATCGGCAATTAACAACATAAGATATTAGAATACTACGGTTTTAGTGGTAATTTATGGTATTTTAGGACTAAATAATTTTTTAAATACGTTCCAACTTCCAAATATATTTTTCTTAATAAAATGTAGACTTGCTCGCATAAGAAAAACAGGGTGATGGTAATTGGTGTTTTCTTGGAGCTGGCATACTAAAATGTTTTCTTGAATATATAAATTATCCTCAATCTTTATGTGTACAGAATTGATACTAAACAAGCAGAAGAGCGTTTGATGAAGGCAGAAAAAACTTCAGAAGAAGCTTTCGAAGCTGCTACTGCAATTGGAGTGATATTATATGACACTCCAGAAGCTTCCCAGAAACACTATAACATGGAAATATCAGCCGAAAAGGCAGGAGGATCTGCCATGCACACTGTTAGAACATCTTTTGAGACTGCATTTGAAGTGGATAAACAAGTAGCTTTTGCGGTAAAGTCTGCCCTTATCAACCTTGCAAATTGCCCTTGGACAAATAAAGATGAATTCAAGGAAATGCTCCGAAAAATCAGTCAAAACCCTGATACAGATGAAAACAGTCAAAAAAAATCTTCAGAATATGATTCTGATAATGCATCTGAGATGGATTTTAAGAACAGGGAGGTTTCTCACAAGTTTAGTATGACAAAGATTGTAGAAATGATGATGAAAAGATTGAGGTGTTTGGAAGAACATGACCTTGCATCTCTTGCTACTATAGTTGCAACTTGTGGATTAAATGCTGCTCTTGAAGAAGCTGGAAACGAGAAACTGCATAGCAAACCGGATCCAGTATTTCATCAGAAATCAAACCCGGACCCACATCAAAATGTGGGTGAGACCCCACTTCCAGGCCTGGACAAGTTTTTGGTAAAGCGGTTGACAAGGCTGGAAAGGGAGGTTCTAGAAGCCAAAATGACAAACAGGAATGTAGAGAGTGAAGGTAAAAGATGCCCACCTTCATACGCTAATTCTTCCCATTCAAGCCAAAATTATTCGGATCTTGGAAGTTCTCTTATAAAGCCTATTTCAAAACTTGAGAAGGAAATTGAAGAAGCAAAAAAGCACTCAAACTCATTAGTTGGAAGCATGTGTAAGCCTTCACATAGAAAACAAGATTTAATAGATGAGATTCCCAGCCTAGACAAGTTCCTAGTGAAGCATATGTCAAAACTTGAAAAAGAAGTGCAAGAAGCAAAAAACAGAAATAAGAACATTGACTCTTCTTCTGCATGTGGTAGAGGTGAAGGAGTGGGGAAAGAAAACATTGATCAAAACAAGAACATAGTAGATGCAGAAGTTGAGGGAAGTAGTAAAGTGTCCCTGGACAAGGTTTTAGTGAAACCAATTCATCGTTTGGAGAAGATGAAAATGCAAGATGAATCTTCTTCATCAATAGCTGGTGGTGTCCCGGTGAGATCTCAGAGGAGAAATGTCAATTGTGATGATGACAATGGACTGGATAAAATACTTGTGAAGCATGTGTCCAAGTTGGAGAAGGCGAAGATGGCGGCAACGCAAGAAGTAGTAGAGAAGGAAAAGGTTACAAGTGTGAGTAGGAAGGGAGTGGTACTGAGCATTGAAGAAGCTAGTAGTTTGGGTCAGGTGTTGGTGAGGAGTGATAATAAATGTAGTAGTAAATTAGAGGGGGGGGAGATAGAAGAAGACGAACAAGGAGATGGTGAGCAGATTATCAGTAGTAGGCATTCGGTTTCTAGGAGAGAAGCCAGGGAGAAAGAGATGCAGCAAGCATGGGGAGGATTAAGCCTTGGTAATTCCATCCGTCCTCATCTCTCCAGGCTTCAGAGGGATAAGGCAAGTTGTTATTATTATTATTACTATCATAGTAATGGTGATGATCATTCTTTCAATTGTTCCATGTGCCTATAAATTTTATTGGCGTTTATTGTTAGGCTGCTTGGATGGAAGCTGAAGAAAAAGAAAGGAGAAAAGCAGCCTCAGAGGTGTGAAAATTAAATGAAAGCTCATTTGACTTTTAGGATGCATAGTTGAGGTGTGAAGGTTTACCCATGTTTGATCGCCTCTGGTCCAGCAGATTACTAACTCCGTCTACATTCACAATGAGAAGAAGATGATTGGACATTGTCATTTACTCTATTCTACAGTGTATTTTTTTTGGTAAAAAGAAATATGTTAAAGTTTTACCTTCCACACTAGGATAAAAGATCTATGAACTAATGCAACACTTTATTATAAATAATGTCGATTGTAACGTGTTATAGAGTATATACTAATACGAGTGCTTGTAGCCAACATTGAGTCCTAAGAGTGGAGCGACGTATTATCTCACATTGACTCCTTTAAACTTCGAGGCATGAAAGAGCTCCATACTTGACTACTTTTAGTCTTTTGGAGGAGAAACCATACATTTAAAATAATGGTGAATTTATAAAATTGTTGACAAACCAGAGGAGTTTTAAAAATGCAAGTGATAAAGGTGTCTTCAAGTCATGATGATATCAAGCTTTCAAAATCTAGGCAGTAGAAGTCAGAATGTGATTTGCATTTTTGTACGGAGTAATATTTACTATTTTATCATGATTTCTAAAATGAAATATGATTATAAACAAAAGAAAGAAACGCCCAAAATAAATAATACATGTTCAGGTGTAGTTTTTTTACTTTGTTCACTCAAAAGTACAAATATTGGAAATCCAAATTTATCTTTGTTACTTTCTGCTACTCCGTATTAAAAATGGTTTCTCTAAACAAATAGCCTTTTCATTCAAAGATGTGCTTTTCCCATCGATGGCTTCGTTTTACATACTCCGTATTTAGTAATCAACTCCCAACTTTAGGCTTATCTACTACTCCGTATGTGGTACTTTTTCAACCAAATAAGGATGTTTTTACTTGGACTGTAATTTGTCCCAGACCAGACCAGACCAGACCAGTTCAGACCAGACCAGATCAGACCAGACCAGACCAGACCAGCAAATTACAGTCCAAGTAAAAACATCCTAACATTGCCTCATATTTTTTTGTGGGGTAGACATATCAATTTAGGTTCAAGTTTTAACAGTTTTCAATTCAATTTGAAATGAGTTGAAAGAATATTACCAAATATGGTTCTGTTCGGGTTTGTTCCGTTCCATTCAATTTGGAATTGTTATATTTCAAAAACATATTGAAAATCTATTGAATATTTTAGTACAGTTCAATTTTATTCTGTTTTTCATGAGTTAAATTAATCTTGATTTACTTCGGTTTAGAAGAAGTACTACCAATTTCAATCACGGCTCCTAATATTCTCCATAATCTGATCTAGCAGCCATTGCAGTTGAAGAAAGTTCAGTCAAAATCAAGTTGTTTAAAAATTTAGCACATCCATTGCAGACATTTTTAGCTTAAAAATATATAAGCAGCATTGCAGAATACATGAACCATAAATGTCTCTAACAACTTTTATTTCAGCACATCCCTCGAATCAGAGTCAAAATGTGAAATAGATCAATTTCCAGAGCTAGAAGTCCCAGGCTTGTTATTCCAGATGCAGAAACTCATTACTAGGGAGCGGAGGAGCTTCCCCGAATTTCAGCACATATGCAGTCCAATGAGCAATCCGCAGCGCTGGAATGGCCGGTGCATCCAAATATGCATCGCAGGAGAAACACCACACTGATAAATCACTGCATTCAAATCCATATCACGCCCAAATTCACATCGAATGACGGAACTAAAATGAACCGATCGATTGAAATGATATCCAGGTTTATGTATATACATACCTGAAGCTAAGTGCTATGGGGTGATTCGTCCGTTGATGGTGCTCGACCATGTGCTTGTTCACGAATCGGCTACAGAAAACTTGCTTGCAGCTCAAGCATAGCCAGTTCTCCCTCGGATGTTGGCACCTGCAACGAAATTCCATTGGATTCATTGATTGATTGAATGCCTAGGGTTAGAGAAACCATCAGGAGAGGTTAGAAAGACAGACTCGTTGCAGGGAGTGACGGGGACGGGGATGTGAGCCAGGTCAGAGGATAATGAAGCGAGGTGATCGCAGTGAGTTTGGGGCTCCACCCAACCCGATTCGAACCCATCCATCATCAGTTCTTCGTCTTCGTAGATTACGGGAACTGAAGCGACGGACGACGATGAGGCCATTCACCGTTCTTGTTCTTACGCTGAAGACTGGGATTGGTTCGGTTACCAAAACCTATTGAGTTTTTTTTTGAAAGACCATAACTTATGAGTTAACTATATGAAAAATTGTTAATTTTATATGGTTCTATTATTATATTATACCGATTTTTTTAATTGAAAAATAGATGAAAGTAGGGGTGGACAAAATGGTTTGATTTGATCAAACCGAACCGAAAATTGGTATTTTGGTGTGGTTTGGTTTTACATAAGTAAACCGTTTGGTAACATTTTGCTCAAACCGAATGGTTTGGTTTGGTTTAAAACCGAAAAACCGCAAACCGAACCGAATACCGAACAACTTGTAATATACGAAGTATATAAATACTTTGTATTTTTTTCCACCCTTCATCTTTGGGATATAAACAAATAATTTAGACATGAAAAATACAAAGTTAGCATATATCATTCTAACTTTTACACATTTATACATTAAGTTTGAAAGAGTTAGCTAATATGACATATTTGTATTTGTTATGTTTGTACTTTACCTATATGAAAAGATATTTGGCGATAACCTTAGCAAATTGCATTTATATATTTTAAATGATTCATTTGAATAAAATTGTGAATATTACAACATTTAATTTGTATCACTAACTCATTTAATTAGTTTTCTTTGAATATTTTATGTGATATTAGAAATGTTAATCAACTACGCAGTACAAATTTATTTATTGTTGGAATGAATCTTTTTTATTTATTGAGAAGATGTTAATTAGAAGTTTTAATTTATACGTAGTGATATTTTATTATTTCTTTTTCTATGTTTTCTTTCCTTTTACATTTTATTTAAAGAGTAAATAAAAGAAGATAATATGGACAACTACTTTCATTTTCTAATTGTAGAATATAGAACTTGATGAAATAAAATAATAAACATAAGAAACTCAATTAGTCGAATTAAATTGAACCTAACAATTTTTACGTTGGTAAACCGAACACCAAAACGAACCAAAACCGAAACTGAAACACAAATGGTTTTAGTTTGTTACACATTCTCCCAAACCGAATAAACTGAAACCGAACCGAAACCGAAGAAAACCGAACCGTAAACCGAATTGCCCACTCCCAGATGAAAGAATGGCTGAAATATCACATCGCAACTTTGAATGGACAAAAATACGATCCTTTTAAATCTGGACAAAAATATGATTTCATTAAAGAGAAAACCCAGCCCAATCCGTCCATCTTCCATGTGTGTTACTTGCTCGCCCAAGCTACGATCTCTGCTGCTCCGCCTTACATCCTCACAACATCGTCGACCTAGGCGCCTTCCTTCCTCCCCTAGCATCGTCGAACTCAGGCTCCTCCTCCGAACAACAGAAGCATCAATATCTTCCTCCTCCCTTCTTCCTTGGCCATCGTCTTTGCGCTCACGCCGATAACAGAGCAGACGCAATAGTGGTCTTCTCCTTCGTCGCCAAATCTCGATTATTATGTATTATTTTTAAATGGATATAACTTTTTCATTTTTGCTCCATTTTTTATAAGTAATATATCAACATTCATAATTTTTCTGATCTTTCATTTGACACCAATATTTCATATATAATTTTTTTTTAAATGAAGAACATGTTGCGTACCATTGGAGTAATTTTTTTTCAAAATATGTGGTCCCACCATTGGAGTCATGGGCGGAGCTAGGGGAGGGCCATCTCTAGCCCTGGCCCAGCCCAAAATTTCAAAATGCTTGTATTTTCAGTCTCAAAAAATCTATGTAAAAAAATTTCAATAATATTTTTTGTACCGGCCCAGTGCGGCCCAGTGCCCTAGCTCTGCCCCTGATTGGAGTAATTGTTTTTCAAAATATGTGGTCCCACCATTGGAGTTGGCATTTGGAGTGCTACATTGAAATTGGAAGTTACGCAGTGTCACGGTTCCAAATTTTAGGGAACCGGAACCGCACAGTACCGGTTCTAAAAACGGCGGTTCCGGTTCGAAACCGGTTCGGTTTCCGGTTCCAAACCGGTTCGATTTCCGATTCAACTTTTTATTTTTTATTTTTAAATATTAAAGTTTAGTATTATTAAATAAATTAATAAAGGAGTTGCTAAAAATACAAGAATAAATATCTGTCATTGTTAAAACTAATTACAAAAATAAGATAATTAATAGCTACATTGCCGACATAGTTATAAATTAGATTGCAAACTCCTTTAATCTATTATTCTAAAACAAGTTCATTATTAATAAATAATTGGTACTTATAACTAATAATTTTAATAAAATATATATTAAATAGTATATTAATAACTAAGGAGTAGTAACGAGTAACTCTTATAATGTTATTTATATTATTAATACAAATAATATTAATAATATTATCATTTTTAGCATTATTAATATTATTAATAATATTATAATTAAATAATTAATTCAAAAAAAAGAAGTTCCGAACCATAACCGCTGGTCTAGTAATCCTTCGGTTCCGAACCGAAGTACTGGGCGGTTCTGATTAAGGTCCGGTTTCGGTTCAAAAACCAGCGGTTCCGATTTAACCGGGGGCAGGTCTATACGCAGGTAAGTCGCCACTTCAAGTGGCGGCTTTGTTTAACCAGGATTCCAGCTAGCGGTATTTTGGGAATTATTTTTAAGTCAACTTTATTTTTGGATTTATTTATTTATTTAGCATTAATTTTGGAAAAAACTCATTAAAATGAATATGATTTTTAAAATAAATCTGGATGGTTGTAATATTATAAAATAACCACAATAAGATCGATAAGTGTAGACTAAGAAAACATGAATTACTTATTTGAATAAAATTACAAATTTATTTGAAAGGAAAAACATACATAGTAAAACATAAAACATAAAAGTAAATGAAAGATAACCACTTAAAAAACGTTTTTTAAACCAATTACGGAGTATTGTTGAACTACGTTCGTAGATTGAAAAACGCGATGCCCCTGTTAGGTTTTCGCGGTGTATATATACTCCGTACGTATCAGTTCGAGTGCCACCACTTTAGAGCATTTAGGGTTTTCTCCAATAGCCGCTATACTCCGTCGCTGTGTTCCTCTTCCATAGAAGCTTCTCGAGAGAAAGAGAAAACAAGAATGGGGCACGCTAACATCTGGAACGCTCACCCTAAGAACTATGGCCCTGGCTCGCACCCTTGGTATCGTCTCAATCAATCTTTATATCTATTTGTGTTATCTGTTTTTATCAGTATCGTTTCTGATGTTTGAAGTAACTATTAGCAATTAGCTTCTCTGTTTGATCCGTTGATATTGGTTGCGCTGTATTTCAAATCGATGAAGAATAGGTTTATGTGAAATTTAAAACTCACAGTCGTGCTTTTCAATTACTCACAATAGATTGTGTAGCGAATACATTAAACCAAGCCGCGTCTTTGTATCTGTGATCCGCTTTTTGTACGGAGTACTATACAATGCTTCATTAGCGGGGGTAACCAATTTGTAAACGATGCTTACTTTTTTTTTAGTACAAAAAATCTTGAATAATATTTTACATGAAGTTGCAATGGCAGTTAGTAGTATATGAACCGCCCTGGATGAGAAGTTTCTGGGGTTCTATTGAGGATTCTCACATTTTGCCAAGAGAGCTCAATGACAATTGGTATACGAGATAAACAACCAAAATTAGCCATTTTTATAATCCAAGAAGAGATACTGATCCAGGAACTGGATTCTGAGCCTTAAAGTTATCAATTATAGATCTGAAGTCACTCTGAAGGGTCATAAGCGTTTTCTGTCTGCGCGTAAAAGCATGGCTGAAGTCTGTAATGTCTTCTTCAAGTTCTCTCCTTCTCCGCTCTTCGACACTCAAATTCTTCAGAACCTTTTCTTTTTGTTCCATAAGGTGAGCAACCTTTTGAGTAGAGTCTGTAACTCTTTCTTTCAATCAAAGTATCTCTCTCTTCTTTCAAAACAGAAAACTGTTTGTCTAAACTGTTATATCTTTCCCTGGAATCCATAACAAGTTGGTTAATAGCCTCCAATTCTCTCTCCAAGCTGCAGCATCTTTCGTTCATTGTTAGAACTTCTTCCTCAAGCTTCTTATTCCAACTATCAATATCTTGCTCCAGAGTAGACCCCTTACAGCCTCAAAGAAGATAGTAGTATCCCATGGTGAGAATGGAGAAGAGTATATAAACGAAGGTGTGACATCTGGTTATCTGTAGTGACCAGGCAGCTACCTTATGTTTGCTGCTGTTTGATTCATTCTCTGGAAGTTGGCTTCTGATTGAAGATAATGTACTATTCGCTTTCATATAAAGCATATTCCGCTGCTCTTCAAATGAAAAACCATTCCCATCTAAGGAGGATATATCTCCACCACTACTCATCTTGAAGCTAGATTCAAGAGTTGAAAAAAGGGAGATTCCAATATCACTTGTGGTAGAAAGTAACTCGGCGGTTGGTGACTTCTGATTGGTTACACAGTCCTGTATTATTGATATGACATCCTTGTAAATATCTTTGCATATTCTGACAGCTTTAGAGTGTCTTTTGAGGATTTCCTGAACAAGAGATGCCTCTTGCCGAAGTAGAGAAATCTCTCTCATTAAATCCCCATTAACTGATTCTTGTTTGATATGATTCATCTTGAATTCATCTCTTTCTTTTAACACTTGCTTCAGCTCTCTGAAGATTCTCCACCTCTTGTTTGTAATCCTGGATGGGTGAACCATTCTCAGCACCCTTAGCCAAAGACAGACTCTTTAGAGCGGGGGTCCTTAGAGGGGTGGCATCAAGATCAGCCACATAGCCCTTGTTCATTGGCAAAGGCATCAAGTGCATCCGGAAGAGGACTGCATTCGGGCTGCCGAGAGTAGTTTGATCGCCGAGCAACAAAAGCATCGGGAACTTTTTTAAAACACGGCGTATTAACGCTTTGTCTGGAAATATTCTGAGTGGCGGCAAAACCATTAGTATCTGAAAGAGTTGGATGGTTGCAAGGCTCATCCAGTTTCCTCTGTTCATCCATAATACGCTCCTTCTTCAATCTCCTTTCCTCCTCCAACTCCATAGCAAGCCTCTCATGCTCCTGTTCAGACTTCAGCAAATCATTTCTCAATTTCAAAAT